TTTGAGGAGCTAAAGTGGGCTCGCTCTTCATCTTAATGTAATTCCCTTCTATTGGTCAAAACTAATTGCATCAACTAGCAAAGAGAATACGAAACAAATAGGGAACACAATTGCAGAAAGCGACTGACTCTATGGAGGCAAAATTCTTTCACTCAAACAAAATATTCAAGGCAAAATAAATTGTTTACTTTCGTGTAACATTATCTGTCTTTGATGTGCACTAATAATGACTTTTGCTTGCTATAAACATAATCGTAGAACTTGTGAAGAGAAAAGCGGAAACTCGATGAATTTGGAACTTCGCTTCTATTATTTTAACTTCTTTCACTCTTTCATCCCCTTTCGAATCTTCCATTTTTTTTTTTTGTTTTCTTAAAACCAGAGCGACGAAATTTAAATTTTTTTCTATGAAAAGCATTTGTAATATAAGAATTATTGAACATTTCCGATGACCAAAGTGGTTCACCTAATGCAAGATATACAACCTGTCAGCAAGGAAAATTTGTGCTATAGGATGTTAGAAACCTCCCCATTTATAAATCGGCACCTAATAATACTCGGCGCATGTTAAGCAAGGATCGCTAACGTACGTTGGTAGAGATGGCCCGTCAGAAGAAGAGGAACTCCATAGTTACGGCAAAGAGCACGGATGAAGAAGATAAGGCAGATGAAGATGATACCAGACTTGTTACCCCGGAAACGGGAATCCCCCAAAACCTAGGGTCTGTCCAATTATTCCATTGGATGTAAGGAATGGGTAGTGCTCCAACTATCTAACACGGCCAGGTGAGGAAGGAATCAACGACACCGGTGGAATTGCAAGCTCCAGTGGTAAAAATCCCTACAAATCCAGTACAAAATGAGATAGATACGGCTACAACGACGAGAAAATTAACATTCTCGGCAGGATTAGGGGCTCCACAAAACCCTAGCTGACGCCTTCAAAGGCAATAGGTCACAACAACAAGGATCGAAATTGAACTATTATCCTCCTATAATTAATGACGGAATAAAAATAGTTAGACTGAACTACACAGAGGTTGAGGAGCAAAATAGGAAATGGAGGACAAGCCTAATTGGATATGTAATAGGTGGATCCCCCCTATTTAAAGAGATACTGAAGTTTGTGTATGGTGTGTGGCACTTTGTTTCGACACCAGAGGTATTACTTCACGACGAAGGTTACTTTATCTTTAAATTCAGTTCTAATAAAGATAGAGATCTAGTACTTCGAAATGGCCCATACACATTCAACAACATGCCAGTGATATTGAAGCAATGAGAGTCAGATTTCCAAATGAGCAATTAAGCTATGACCAATATCCCGGTTTGGGTGAATTTCCCTGGGTTGCCTATACAATACTGGACGGTGGAAAATCTGGGAAGAATAGCAAGCTCTATAGGGAAACCAATTTGCACAGATAAACTAACAGCCCAAGAAGCAAGGATATCTTATCCACGCATGTTAATCGAAATAGATGTGTCTCAACAATTGCCTGACATAGTGCTGATTGAAACAGTTGATGGTAAACATAAGGAGCAGTTATTGAGCTACGATTGGCAACCATCTTTCTGTCAAGACTGCCTTCAAATAGAGCATCATACATGTGACTGCAATGCACAAGAAGAATAGAGTATCGTACAGGTGACTGCAATGCACAAGAAGAAAAGACACATAAAACTGGCCCTGCTTCTAAAGGTCAGGCAGGGACTAAGAAGCAACAAGGAGAACAACACAAGAGAGGAAGAAAACAAGTCAATAAGTGGGTAGTAAAGCCAAATGCAGCCAAAGAAACTCAAGGGCAAGAAGCAAGAAGCAAGAGTTGAACCTAGTACTAACAAAGTGATTGCAACAGAAGGGATAAGGCAAGAAGAGCTGAAGGGAATGTGCAAACTGAAAATGCTGATTTCCAGAAGGACAAAACAAAAGGGAAACAAGTGCAAAGCCCCAAGGTGAAAACATCACTAAGGGATGGTTTATCTATTGCAAATATTGAAGCTATGCTACACCAAAACAGATTGAGTGCACTGAGAATTCAGGAAAAGGAAGATGCAAGTCAGGCATCTAAAGAGGAAAGAGTACCCCTTGCTCAACCTCCATGATCATTAGCTCATGGAACATTAGAGGGATTAACAAGCCCTACAAGCAGAAAGAACTCAAGGCCTTTCTATTTAAAAATAAAATAACAGTACTAGGGTGCCTTGAGACAAAAGTAAAAACCTGGAATGCAAAAAAAGTTAGAATAAAAATTGGAAATGATTGGGAAGTGTTTGCAAACTACACACATGCTCCAAATGGAAAAATATGGATATTGTGGAAGACTCAGCATGTAAAAGTCAAAGTAATACTTGCAGGGGCTCAGTTGGTGCACTGTGAAGTCAGGGATAAACACTCAGATGTTACCTGCTGCTTAACATTTGTGTATGGGTACAACACAATAGAGAAGAGACAGGAAATATGGACACAACTAAGACAAATCCACAGTAATATGGTGGAGGTTTGGCTTGTTTTAGGAGATTTTAACACCATGATCTCTGTTTCTGATAGAATCAATGGCAATCCTATTAGTCAGACTGAGGTGGAAGATTTCCAAAAATGTATTGCTGACAATGGGTTGGGACAGTTGAATAGAAAAGGCTGTCAATGGTCATGGTGCAACAAAAGGGAGGATGCAGACATAATTTACAGTAATATAGATTGGGCCTTGGGAAACTCTTACTGGTTTATGAAATATAGCAGTATAGAGGCAGTGTATGAAAACTATGAGGTATGTGATCATTCTCCCATAATATTGTGTACTGCGGTTATTAGGAATTGGTTGCCAAAACCTTTTAGACTATTGAATGTGCTCCTACAGGATGAAGAATTCAACCAAATGGTCTAAGAGGTGTGGAATCAATCTATCCCTAGATATACTATGTACTCATTTTGGAAAAAACTGCAATATCTAGGAAGCAAAGCAAAAGGGATGAACAAAACTTTCAACTCAGTGGAAAAAAGGATAGACACTCTCAAGGGGAAGCTGCAGAGGATACAAAGTGAGATAGATACTGACCTATTCAACAATCAGTTGATATTGGAGGAGAAGGAGATATTAATACAAATAGTGAAATGGGAAGGCATCCAAGAGAAGGTGTATAGACAGAAATCAAGGGCAATCTGAATATCAGCAGGGGATTCCAACACAAAGTATTTCTATGCACAGTTGAAAGCAAGACAAACTAGAAATAGAGTGTCTACCACATGTAATGAACATGGTCAAAAACTGACTGACCTTCCTTGGTAGAACAAGAGTTCATAACATTCTTCAAAAACTTGCTAGGGACAAATGCTACTGAACTACCTTGCCTTGATGTTACAATAGCCAGAAATGAACCATGTTTGAATAGAGAACAACAATATGTACTCATTAAGGCTGTATCAGAGGAAGAAATCAAACAGGGACTTAAAGATATGCCAAATGACAAATCTCGTGGCATAGATGGTTTTCCAGCTGAGTTCTTCAAGACATATTGGGGCATTGTTAGAAAAGAAACTATACAGGCTGTGAAGGAATTCTTTGAAACAGGGAAACTTCTGAAGAATGTTAATAGTACTACTGTTACATTAGTGCCAAAGGTTTCAAGTCCCTCTTTTGTAAAAGAATTTCTACCAATAGCATATTGTACCACCCTATACAAACTCATTTTCAAGATCCTTACAACAAGATTAAAGATAGTGATGGACTTCATAGTAGGACTAGCACAGTCAGCATTCATAGAAGGGAGAAACATATTAGATAATGTGATTTTTGCTCATGAGCTGGTAAAGGGATATAATAAAAAAGGAGTCTCGCCTAGGTGCATCATAAAAGTGGACATAAGAAATGCATATGATTCAGTTGAATGGCCATTCCTACGTATGGTCCTACTGGAATATGGGATACCTAGCAAAATGGTCCAGTGGATAATGAAATGTGTGACTACTGTGAGCTACTCTCTGCTGATCAATGGTGGACTTACTAGTAGATTTCAAGCAAGGAAGAGACTGCGACAAGGGGACCCAATGAACCCTTACCTGTTTGTACTAGTAATGGAGTATCTGAATAGAACTCTGAAAACTCTTAAGGACATCCCTGACTTCAACTTCCATCCAAGATGTGCAAAGCTGAACCTCACACACATCTGCTTTGCAGATGATCTGATAATGTGTTGCAGAGCTGAAAAGGTTTCCATTCAATTATTGCTTGATAAGTTTAAACATTTCTCGAAGGTGTCTGGGCTCATGGCAAATCTGGACAAGAGTTCTATCTACGTAGCTGGAGTGTCTCAGGAATTCAAAGACATGATCACCTCAGATTACTAGTTCAAGCTGGAAGGCTTACCATTCAAATACTTGGGGGTGCCTCTATCATCAAGAAAGGTGACAATCCAGCAATGCATGCTGTTAGTTGAGAAGATAACCAACAGAATCAAGTACTGGATATCAAAGTTTCTCTCCTACAATGGAAGACTACAACTGATAAAGAGTGTTTTATTTGAAATGTAAACATACTGGGGGCAGGTATTTCTGATGCCAAAGAAGATCATCCAATTAGTGACTAATGCGTGCATGATATTCTTATGGACATTCAGCCAAAACCCCTCAAAGAGGGCACTGATTGCCTGGGACAGAATATGTATGCCTACTTCAGCTGGTAGACTAAACGTCATCAACTTCTTATGGTGGAACAAAGCAGCTCTTTGTAAATTAATGTGAGTTATACATATAAAGAAAGATGCACTATGGATAAAATGGATACATAATTTTTATATAAAGAAGCAGGACTTCACTACAATGAACACCCCTAGGCAAGCATGCTGGCTTGTAAGGAAAGTTTTTGATACAAGAAAATGGTATCTGAGCATCGACTCTTTTGCCAACATCAACAATTATTGCAGGCAGGGGGCAATTCAATATTAAGAAGACATACACATTAGTGAGTCCTCAATACCCAAAGGTTCATTGGAAAGCTTTAATGATGGGTTCAAATGCTATACCTAGACATAATTTCATTTTATGGCTGACACTTCATCAAAGGCTTACCACTGTTGATAGACTGGTAACTTGGGGTATACAGGTAGCAAGTGAATGTGTACTGTACAATAGTGGGAAAATAGAAACAATGGCCCATCTCTTTTTTGAATGTCAGTACTCAAGGACCATCTGGAGTACAATGCTCAAATGGATGGGAGAGAGACATCCAGTTGGATTTTGGGAAGAGGAAGTAGTATGGCTGAAGAAAAGAACCAAAAATGGTAGGCCTCGAAATAGCATATTGGCATTCTTATTTGCAGCTGTGGTTTATCATACATGGATAGAGAGAAATATGCGTAGATTTCAGGGGCAAAAGACTGATACCAAAAAGAGAATACGAGATGTTGTCCTCCAACTACATATCAAAGGACAACAGAAGGCTAAATGGAAGAAGATCTTAGAAGGTGTAAATAGTTTTCCTCTATGAATAGTTGGCACTCAATAGTATAAGTAGCAGAGGGAATATTGAAATATACATAACAGTTTTGGTTATTGTTCTTGAGTCTAGCTCTTTAGTCCAAAGGAGTTGGAGGAGATGTAATTATCTTTACTGGTTGAGTAAAATCTTTTGATATTTGACCAAAAAAAAAATCGACAATTAATTAGTATGTAATAATTTTGACTTGGGTATATCTTCATCTATTTTCAAGGTTGGAAGAATCATAATTTTCGAGGGGAAAGCTGACATGAAATTGCTGTTCTATACATTTTCACAATTGGCAGCTGCGATGCAATAATAATGTTGCGTTAAATTATTCCAATTATATGTTGCGATATTGTCCATTTTGGATCAAACTTTTATAATTTTCCTCAAAAAGTGTCACATCCTTAAAAGTATCCAATATCTTATAAGTAAATTCTTTCTTTTTTGTACTTTCATGTAGGATTTTTTTCATACACACACAACAAATATTTTACTTGTACTCAGGGGCGGATCTATATTGTGGAAAGAGGGTGGTACGCCACCCGGTCGCTCCGGTAAAATTTCATGTACCCATAGGTATTTTACTAGTATTTTACGTGAAAAAGATAGCTAAATAAAAAATGGCATCCCAAGTAACAAAATGGTTATAGGTGCCATGGTCAAGGTAACTCTTGGCAGGCCCAATACCCAAGATTGACTTTTGCTCATATTGCAATTTTACTTTACTGTGTTACCTCTTTCCAGATTACTTTTTTTTTTTGTCATTTTCGCTTTCTTGAATTCTTTTATCTTTATTTTTGTATTTTCTTTGCCCCACTAGTGGGATTTTACTAGGTCGTTGTTGTTGTTGTTGTTGTTGTTGTGTTTTGTATTTTCTCTCTTTGTACAATTTTATTTTTATTAGTTATTTAGATTAAAAAAGTATATTTGCTTATGTTCTTTTGTTCTAGATCTCAATTTCTTTTCTTCTTTTAATATGCTTTTAATCATTTTTTTTTATATTTAGTTAGTATTATTTTTTCCTTGAAAGGACCAAATATATTCAGTTTGGTTATCATGTGTTTATTTATGCACCAAAAGATCTTGTAAAGCAAACCAAATTAATTCAAAATAGATCGAATTGAACTAAATTAATTTAAAATAGAGCGAACTGACAAAATGCATGTATACCCAAATTCAACTGCCTTGACTACTGGTTATTATACATTAAATATTGTGACACCCGCAACCATCAAATCCTGGATCCGCCTCTGCTTGTACTAATCTTTACAATCTCCGCTAGAATATTATGATATCATGTGAGTAAATTTTTTCAGAAGAGTTGTTTGGAAAAGATTTTCTGTTCACACCTTCTTGTACCTTGTCGCCTCTCTATCATTGATGAAATCAAATAAGAATTCAACTAAATTCGTGGAGAGGAAAATCGTTTGGTGTAGTGGGCTGTGGGCCTCATGGGCTTCTTAAGCTTGTTGGAAGATCTCAAGAGAACTCTTTTAAGTTCCAAAATATTTTGGGAGATTTGCATCCGTACCCTATATCTGTGCCCCCTTTTAACCTGTACCCTATTTTTTTAAAAATTATTGATTTGGTAGCCATCTCACAAAAAGTCCGTAATAATATGACAATTACACCCCTGACAAAAGATAAAAAACGATCTCTTCCTCTCCTCTCAGCAACTTTATAAAAAAATCAGAACCTTGTCCAGATTCATCTTCAGAATCATACTTGCATGAAGTTGTTTCACCTTGAAACTAAAACTTCATGCTAATGTAGCATGAAGTTGTTTCATGCTGAAGCTAAAACTTCATGCTAATATAGCATGAAGTTGTTTCACATTGAAGCTAAAACTTCATGCTAATGCATGCTGAAGTTATTTATCCTCCAGTCTACAGTTATGTCATGAATTTTATCCGAAACTTCAGTCTAAACATGCTGAAGTTATTTAGTTCATTTGTTAAAACTTTAGACTAAACATGCTTAAGTTATTTAGGTCATTTGCTAAAATTTCAGACTAAACGTGCTTAAGTTATTTAGTTCATTTGCTAAAATTTCAGACTAAACGTGCTTAAGTTATTTAGTTCATTTGCTAAAACTTCAGACTAAACATGCTTAACTTTTTTAGTTCATTTTTGCTAAAACTTCAGACTAAACATGCTTAAGTTTTTATCTTGTAGTATGTAATTTTTTAATGAGTTTTTGCTAATGCATGCTGAAGTTATTTAGTTCATTTGCTAAAATTTCAGACAAAACATGTAAAAATTATTTAGTTCATTTGCTAAAACTTCAGACTAAACATGCTGAAATTTTTTAGTTCATTTGCTAAAATTTCAGACTAAACATGCTTAAGTTTTTGTTTTGAAATATGTAATTTTCTAAAGAGTTTTTGCTAATGCATGCTGAACTTATTTAGTTCATTTGCTAAAATTTCATACCAAAATATGCTGAAGTTTTGTAGCGCAGTCTATAGTTTTGTCCTGAGTTTTATCCGAAACTTTAGTCTAAACAAGCTGAAGTTTTTTAGTTTATTTGCTAAAACTTCACCCTAAACATGCTTAAATTTTTGTCATGCAGTTTGTCAATAGTTTTTATTAAAGAAGGGCAAAATCGTCTTTTTAAAATGCTTTTAACAAAAAAAATGGGTACGGATGCAAACGAAAAAATAAAACGGGTATAAATTAAAAAGGGGCGACCAAATAGGACGTCCCATGCAATTTTTACCTATATCATTGATGAAGTCAAATAGGAATTCAACTAAATTCGTGGAGAGGAAAATCGTTTGGTGTAGTGGGCCTCATGGGCTTGTTAAACTTGTTGGAAGATCTCAAGAGAACTCTTTTAAGTTCCAAAATATTTTTGGTTGAAATGAAATAGTTGGAGTTTTTTTTGTCTTATTTCCCATTTTGTATAATGGCTTCGATAGAAATTATAATATATTAACTTGACTTATATGTATTTAATGAAAAAATAATTAATAATGACTTGAAAAGATTGTTTCACAGATAAACAATCACATCAAAATTAAAGCTTGAATTCTTGAAAGTTGTAAAACATTATTCTAATGTAGTTCAAGCGTAAAAGCACTTACAAATTCTCTTTTAAACTGAAAGTAAAACAATACGTTATATGTGGATGTGAAAGTATAAACACTTATGTACGAACGACAAATTCAAACAAGAATGAATTATATACAAGGAATAGTGTAAAAAAATATTTTATATAATTAGTTCACGTCTTAAATAGTTACATGTAAAGGTGATGTAGCACCTCTTTATCCAACAATTGTTATTTTTCCCTCCCTTTTTGACATTTTTTTCTTTTCTTTTCTTTTTTGTTCAAAGCAGGCCATATCGAAAGAAGTTACGCCTTGTTATAAAAATATTATATTATGGATGTCCATTTATTACTCTACTGTAAATAATCTTCCTGAAGAACATTATCCATTTAGTACTCTATTGAAATTTATCTACAAGTAGCTGATGCAGGCAAGTTGCAAGCAGCTCAATGAAATGACATGCAACAACTTCTTATTAAACAAGCAGGTTGCGAGCAATTCACGCAGATAGCATACAAGCAGCTCAAGAAAAGTCTCGCAGCTGCTTCCTGAAAAGCCTTGCAGCTGCTTCCTGAAAAGCCTTGCTTTATTTCTTCTATAAATAAAGGAGTTTTCAGTTCATTATGTACATCAGTTAAAAGTTGAATAATATATCAGTTTCTCTCTATACTTGTCTTTGATTTATTTACTTTATAGTCTTTATATTATAACATGTTATCAGCACGAGACTATGCTATCTCGAGCACATACTTTGAAAGTATCAAAGATACGGACTTTGTTTTTCTTCTAAATAATATCAAACATTTCTAAACTTGAATTTGTAGCACTGGATATATCGGGCAAAAACTACATGTCTTGGGGGCTTGATGCTGAAATTCATCTTGATGCGATGGGTCTGGCAGATACTATCAAGGATAAAAATTAAGTATCAAACCAAGACCGTGCCAAAGCAATATTATTCCTACGCCATCACCATGATGAAGGCTTGAAAATGAAATATCTCATTGTTAAAGATCTAGTTATATTGTGGAATAATTTGAAAGATAGATATGACCACCTGAAGATGGTCGTTCTTTCACATGCACGTTATGATTGGACTAATTTAAGGCTACAAGATTTTAAATCTGTCAATGAGTATAATTCTGCTATGTTCAGAATTATTTTCCAATTAAAAATATGTGGTGATAATATTACTGATCATGATATAATGAAGAAAACTTTCACCATTTTTCATGCCTCGAATATGCTCCTACAGCTGCAATGTAGGGATGAGATTCAAAAAGTATTCTGAACTTATTTTTCATCTTCTTGTGGCCGAGCAACATAATGGGCTATTAATGAATAATCATGACAGTCGACCTACTGGTTTTTGTCCATTCCCTGAAGTGAATGAGACTAATATCCACCAAGCTAAACATGGAAGAGGTCGTGTCCCCAGCCGTGGTTGGGGAAGAAACTCTAATCATGGTAATTATAATGCACCAAACAACTCTCCTTACCACCAGCGGTGGAAAAGTAAGGAACAAAAACATGAAGTGGTGCAAGCAACAAATGCAGAAAATGCATGCTATAATGTGGAGAAAAAGAGCACTAGTCACGTACATGTCATACGCCAAAGCACTTGGTTGAGCTTTATCAAGCCTCCCAAAAGAAGACAGAGAAAAAAACTAAAGCAAATTTTATTTCTGAAGATAATATAGACTTCATGTATTTGGAAGTAGCTGATTACTTTGCACTCCTAGAAGAAAAACAAGTCATGTGATCGGTGATGAATCTGTAAAAATTTAAATATTTTAATTTTTGTGTTTATATTAGATAGTATGGTTATGTAATTGTTGTACATAAATAAAATTTATGCTTTGATAATGATGTTTACTCTAATATTTATTTTGTTTATGTCATTTTGAAAAATATGGATAATCCTTAAATTATGTTTGGATCAAAGACCAGT